AGACTATCTCCCAATTCGATCTCCGCTTACTTCCTATAAATATTTTTGATAATTCATTCTAGTCAATCATAATATGAGCAGTGCCACCAAGGCTGAGCGCAGAAACGCATCATCTGCATTGGTCGGTCTTTTCAAATCACGCCATCTCACTCCAATGCGATCCATCCCTGCCTATCTCCACGTAATCCCACTCAGCTCCCATGACAGCTACCCCCAAACCTGCCCCGGACGACGACGGCCCATTCGCCCCCCCTGATGGCGACCACCCCAACCTTCCCCGTAACGGCGCCCACACCCACCTGCTCCCTGACGGCGGCCACATCCACCTCCCCAGACGGCGGCGACACCCCCCTCCCCTGACGACGTCCACATCCATCTCCCCTGACGACGAATACACCCATTTCCCCTGGCGGCGGCGACATCCGCCTCCCCTCACAACGATTCCGCCACCTCCCCCGACGGCCGCGACACACCCCTCCCCTGACGGTGGCCACATCTACCTCCCCCGACGGCAGCAGCACTCCATCCCCTGACGGCTATCACAACCACCTCTCCCCACGGGGTTGTCACTCACCTCCCCTCACACAGACGACACCACCCTTCCTCGACGGAGACCACACCCACTTTTCCCGAAGGCGGCCGCACTTGCCTCTCCTGACAGCGTCCACATACACCTCCCCTGACGGCAACTACACCTGCTTCCCCTGAAAGTTGTAGTATAGTGGCGGTCGCCAGCTATGAGCTAGCTCGAGGAAGGGGTAACAACCAATAGGGGGTGTCCCGCGGTAGATCGGGACTGTGGTAGAGCAAAGGGGAAGTACGTCGGCCGACTGTAAAAGCACGACGTACTGGTCGAAGTGCGGACCCGGAATGGGACCAGCACTGGAAGGGGTGGTGTAAGAACACACAAAACAGGGGGGAACCCGAGCCTAAAGACTAGTGTCAGACACGGGCGGAGCCCCGAGTAACGGAAACTCCTAGAGGGAACGAGCGGGACAGATGTCAATAGTGCCGCCAAGGCTAGAGGCTTGTCGTAGCCCGCGACTTGACAATCGTCACAATACAGGGAGAGAGAAATAGGTCGTGCGACAGTAATACGCCCAGGCTAGAGGCCAGTCTTAGCCCGCGTGGTCGCAACGACAGAGTATAAAGGAAAACAATTGAAACGTCGAGCGACAGTAACACGCCGAGGTTAGTGGCTGGTCCTAACCCGCGTAGTCGCAAGGACGGAGGAATGGAAAAGGTAAATTAGAGGCAATAGAAGCCAGGGAAACGTCGCAAGACAGATTCCGACAATGTTGCCTAAGTCAGAGGCTTGTCTTGACCCGCGGTGTCGCACCGTCGAAGGAAATCCGTTCCCAAAAGACCCTTGACTGTTTACTGTCATTGCCCGGCGCCGTCGCTTAAATAAGCGAGGTCGCGGGGTCTTGGACATTGTCCATCCTACGGTACTACGGTACTCTATGGTGCAATGCACTGTACTATGCCATTACTACTGTACCTTGTCATATACAACCTCCGGGCTGTACTGTATACAGTACGTCATCGGCCTGTAATGCCCACGTGTAGTCGCCCGCCTGTAAGGCACACATGTCGTCCATCGGCATGTAATGCCCACGTGTAGTCGCGCGCTTGTAAGGCACACATGTCGTCCATCGGCCTGTAATGCTCACGTGTAGTCGCGCGCCTGTAAGGTACCCGCGGCGGCGGGTGCTGTACAAATTACAAATCTGGGCTGTGATACCACAACAGCGGCACATCCACGTTCCCTCACAACGACGACACCCACCTCCCCCGACAGCGGCGACACTCCCCTCCCCTGACGGCAGCCACATCTGCCTTCCTCGACGGCGACCACCCCTACCTCCTCCATCAGCAACCAAACCTACTTCTACCTCCCCCCACAGCAACTAAACCTACGTCCCCCGACAGCTCGCCACGGCTTTCCACCCCCCTCGGCATTATCATTCCGATCTCGCTCTGGCCGTCATGGAAGCGAAAACCCCCACCGATGCACAAGCCGCTTTACAGATTTTGGCGGATGCGGCCATTGACCGCGAAGCGGCTTTCGTGGAGTATCTCTGCGAGCCACAAGCGGACACTGACGAGGAGAATGATTCATACAGCCTCATTCTGGATACATATTATAATAACGGAGGAGGCAGTGCCCTTGTTCAGTTAACAAACTTTACCATCAAGTAGTTTATTCCGCACCTTCCTGGCCAATAATTACAACATTGGCCGTGAGCGACGATCTCAGTACTCTGCAAAGGACGCCCTTTTCATGGTCCTAGCTACGCTCAAACATGGAGGACAGTGGGATTATCTCAGCCAGACGTTCAAGATGAAGGGTGCGACGTTCGAGCGATTGGTTACACGCTTCATTTTGATGATCTCTACAATTCATGTGCAATCCTTTGCGAAGGGACGATGCTGACACCTATCATAGGTCTCGTAATCGGTTGAATGCCATCGGGGATGCCATGGTGAACAAGCCAAAGCGCGTGCAGAAGCGTTATCGACAACGCTGTAGACAGAGACTGGCAATAACGTTCCGAGGGCAAGCTGTGGATGAGGAGGAAACGGAAGACGAATAAATTCGGCAGGTGCCATCAATCTGATGGAACGTGCAATGTTTCGGCATTTGCTCCATGTTTGCGTAAGATCCTTGTCTTCTCCATGAAGGGTTGGACCAAATTTTATTTTTTAATCTTTTGTGGTGTCTACAGTAACTGTGGAACTATCCTGATCGTTGGGCACTTAGTCCATCGTTTTTCAATTACATCGTTTTTCAATTACTTCGTATTTGCCAAAGAGACCTACTGATGGAGACGGATTCCTTTTTTCCTCCATCTATCAATAGCATAGACCCGCGGCCGAGTTCGGTCTAAATTTTGACTGGGAGCCAGTTGAAAGTTTCCACCCGGCAGTTTGAACAAATACATTATATCCTATAGACCCTCGCCGTTGGAGATGCTCTTACGTATGTAGAAAGTTTCTACAGTACGTGCACACGTACAGTGCTGACCAGAACGTCAGCAAGCACTGCAGAACTGTACAGTCCACTGTACTGTGTAAAGTCTACAGCACTGTACTCAAGTTGCGATTGCCACCCGCCGTTGGCCTCAAAACCAGTGAGGAGGGTTGGGGAAATTGAGGGGATGCGAGGCCTATCTGTACAGTGGACTGTAGAGTGTACTGGACCCAAGGGTATATATACTGCTGCGGCCAGTCCAACCCACATAAAGCTACCGAGAGCGCGAGAGCGCAGCAAAATCTGTGCTACCCGTGAAGGGTACATCCTCAAGTCCACCTCCAATTCGCCTGTTGCTTCCTCGATGCCATCCCTACATCCCCACCGCCCCCCATCTTATATACTGTAAGTTACTACTCATCCTCGGTACATCCGTCCTGCGCAGAGACGAAAGAGACGCTAGCAATGAATATGTCTACGCCTTGACAGCGAAGGAGGCGCTAGCTAGCAATAGATACTGTGCAGTATGTCTACGCTTTCACAACGAAAGAGATCCTAGCAGTGGTCTGCTACGTCTTGGCAACAAACTCGTCGTCTCGCGCACATTCCGTACAGTAGCATACAAGATTTCGAGATTTCGATACACCCTCCACACAGTGCTGCTCGTGTCCTACCGTACAGAGTGCTACCGTGTACAGTAGGCTGAGCGTCAATTCTGTCGAGACCAACGACGTGCGCGGCGCTGGCAAGAGCAACCATGCTGCTCCTGGGAGCACTCAAATTGCCCATTGCCGTTGGGGGGAGTGGGGACGTTGTAAGCGCGTAGCAATTACTGCCCACGGCACAGCCGCTACGATGGGTACAGTACAGTAGCGTAGAGCGCCATCTGCATTTATCTCCAGGGGGGCACAGTAAACACGAGTGCAGCCGCAGGCGGACAACGGGCCAGCCGCTGCATTACTGTACCCGAATGGTTATTCGGGTAATGTTTGGACTCCGTTACCCGAATAACCACCTGAATGGTTACACCACCACAGTTATCACGAGTGCAGCCGCAGCGGACAACAGCGAGCCGCTGCCACCTCCATACCTGACCGGCATCTCCGCGACTGACTCTTTCATTACGTGGGTACCGTATGACTGCAGCCGTCAAAAAAAAAAAAAAAATGGAAACGCTCTGCCGTGCCAGCGCATGCACATGGGACAACGGAAATGCACGCCGGGGGGGTTAGTGTCTACGGGGGTTTTAGCGAGAGCGACTCTCGGACGCGGGCGCGGGCGGCTTTCGCGCGGCGCGGGCGAGGGGGGCGAATTAATCGACGTGGCGACGGGGAATGGTGCAGCGCGCGGCGGGTGGAAGCGGGGCCGAGGCGTGTGCGGGAAGGGAGGCGCGCGGACGGGGCGATGCTACGTTGCAGCGGTGCGGGCTGGGGTGCGGGCTGGTGCGGGCTGGCGCGTGAGCTGGGGCGCGGGGAGAGGACGCCTCAGGGACGGGGGCGGGCGTCCCCGCAGCGCGGGTTGCGGATGCGGCGGCGTGGTTGGCGGGCGCGGGCGGGCAGGGTTTGGGGGCAAGGGCATCCCGAGAGAAGGTGGAGATCGGCTCAAAGGTTGAATTCTGCAAGCAAAAAAAAGTGCACCACATGCACCCCCCGCCTGCACCCCCCCCCCCCCCGCCTGCATTGCTGCGATTGCATCTCCCAGCGATTGCATCTCCCATACAGAGCGCGGGCGGGCAGCGGGAGAGGCGCCACCCTTTGTTCCGGAAAAGGGACGCCCGTCCCTCGTCTACCTTTCTTGCAAGCCCCTCGCGCCGCCATCACACCTCAATGCATTTGCTTTTGAAACACGCATTCGCCTGGCGCACCCTGCGTTCCAGACTGTCGCATGCCCTCGCCTGAGGCTGCCTACCTTCCAGGCCTTGCCCCTTTTGCATATTTAAGCAGCCACGCTCCGTCGGCGAGCGCTTCTTCCGCCCCCCTTCACCCGCCCCCCTTCACCGACCCCTCCTCACCGATCTACGTGCCAACTACAGTATCCCACTTGCCATCATGACAATCCCGACTCTTCTCGTCCTCGCCGCGCTCATGCTAGCAACGTTCCCCACGGCGCTCGCGCAGCGCACGCCGCGCACCATCAACGTACGCGGGGAGGGCAGTGCGAGCGCGCCGCCGGATCTGGCGACGATATCGACCGGGGTGACGACGATGGCGAAGACGGCAAAGGAGGCGTTATCGGAGAACAACCGCAGGTTTGCGCGCGTGCTGCAGGTGCTCAAGGACGCCGGGATCGCGGAGAAGGACATCCAGACGGGGTTTTTCCGGGTCAACCCGCAGTTCGAGAGCCGGCCAAACAACACGAACGAGCTGGTGGGGTACCGCGTGGTGAACGAGGTGAACGTCAAGGTGAGGGACCTGGACATCCTGGGCGACGTGCTGGACGCGCTCGTGCGGGCGGGGAGCAACAACATCTCGGGCGTCAACTTTAGCCTGGACGACTCGGAGGCGGCGGAGAACGAGGCGAGGACGGCGGCGATTATGGACGCGAGGAGCCGCGCGCGGCTGTACGCGAAGGCGGCAGGTGTTAGGGTCGGGCGCGTGTTGGCCATTAGTGAGACTGCTATTGAGACGCCGCAGGCGTCACAGCGGCTGAAGGCTAGTGCGTTTTCGGCCGACTCGGTGCCCATCGCTACAGGAGAGCTTACTGTTACCGCACGGGTGTTCGTGTTGTTTGAGATGAAGTAGAAGTTGTGCTCGTTGGCTGGTCACGTGGAGTCGCGGCACAACAAAAGTGGGCGCCCTGTCAAGATAGAAAGTCTGTAGACGTGCAATACTGTATGCACCCTTAGTGCTGTTGCTTGTTACAGTAAAGTGCGTTGTGGAAAAAATAGATGCGTCAAAAAGTGTTTCAAGGTGATCAAGGCGTACGGTAGATTGGTGCGGTTGTGTTAGGGTAAAGCGTTGCGGACGCGGGAGACATGTGGGGACATGAGAGGAGAAATGGTGGATGTAGGTGGAATTCACACACGCTGAGCAGCGTTCCTCTTTGGTAAAACGTGGCACGCCGATATCGACCTCTTGTCCCTCTTTGTTTGAAGGGTAAAGTTTAGTGTAGGTGCCGCTCAAATGCGCAAAGGAGCCTCTTCGCGAGTGTGGAAGTTCCACAGATGAAACCTCTCGCGGGAGTTTCATCTACCGTTCCACAGTGGAACGGTAGATGAAACTCCCGCGAGGGATCGGCGGCGAAGGGTGGAAGCGGGGAAGCGAGGGTGGTGCCACGGGCGAAAGACCAAGCACAACAATGTGCTTGGTAGTAGTAATAAGAGCATCTCTACCGGGGGTCTATTCCTACCTATTACTACCGTATTGTGATAACGAGCCCGTCAAGCGTTGGGAGCCCCGTTGGGAGCCCCGTCGGGAGCCTCGACTACACTGTACATATATAAAGTTTACATATACTGTAGACGTCGGTTATTCGCGATCAATCTAGATTGCCCGACGGCTCACAGTAATGTAAGTAAGTTAATCTCTTCATCTCGAGAGGGCAGCACGAGCCTGCGGATAAAAATCTCTTCCCTGTGCAACTGACGTGGCCGCTCCGCAAACCTCTCTCTCTCTCTCGCGTCTCTCTCGCGTCTCACGACAGAAACCTCACCCCCTGGCCCCTGCAACTCCCGCTCTCTTCACCAACTGCTGCCACCGGAGATTCGTGTCAACCTGCAACGGTTTATGTTCCCACTCTGCTGTAGTGACACGTCAAGGAATGCCGCCCCCCGCGTCCACGGCTCGTGCAAAAGCAGAAGAGCCGCAAGCTGCTAAACTTTACACAAGACGCGGTAAACTCAGCAGCTTTGTACCGTACCCTTGGGTACCATACATGCCAACAACCCATACTGTACCGTACTGCAACTGCACGCGCGTAAGAGAAAGAGAGAGGATTCTTTTCCGCTTGAGGCCGAATCATCCCGATTTCCTACGCTTGCAAAGGAGACGCAATCTAATTCTACAGTGCAGCACTGCACTGTACCAAGGGTACTGTACCCTTGGAACCTCCCAACCATAACCTCCCGAGAGTCTCCTGCTGGAAGATCAACTTTCTTTCATCAACTTTCTTTCAACTCACATCACCCTTGTCAACTTCTGCCATTTCCGCCTTACTCGCTGCGCGCCCCACCGTGCTCATGATCATAGTAAGTGGTGTGGTAATGCATCCCGCCCGAAGGCCGCTGAGCACGTCTGCGCACCCCTTCAAACTCGTCAATCTCCCATTCACGCCCTTCTCCGTCCGTCATCACGTGCTGCCCGCCCGCATGATCATCATGATGAGACCGATGCCTGTGCGTATGCTTCTTGCACTTATGCTTTCCCCTCCCTCCATCCAAACCTCCTGCCCTCTTGCGCGCCGCGCGTATCCATTCTTCCTCTTGCTCGCTATCCGTCCACTCCGAGTCATCATCCCTATCCTGCACGCCGCGATACAGCCTGCCTATCGCACTTTTCGTCATGTACCGTTCTTCCCCGTCGCTTGACTCGCTGCTCTCTGACGCTTCAATGTGCCTGTGATGCGCCTCGAGCTCTTTCCTGCTCTTAAACACCTTGCCACACCCGGAGCAAATGGGCGCGTGCTTGCACTTGTTGCGGACGTGTCGTGTCACGCCTCGGGCACTCTTCAAATAATGCCCGCAGTAGTCGCAAGCAAACACTCGACCACCATGCGCCTCACGCTCATGTTCTTCGAGCTCCTTCTGCACAAATGTCGAGAATTTCTCCTCACAGTCCTTGCGGCGGCACTTGCGCATGTGCCGACGCGTGGCGTGTTTGTTGTACGCCTCGACGTTATCAAACACGCGGTGGCGACAGCCGTCCAAGTTGCAGATAGGCTTGCAATCATGACTGTCCCACTGGCGTCCGTGCGTCCTATGGCATAGGTCGCATGTGACGTGTAAGGTCGTGGCATGACGGGCGAGACGGTTTGCGATGTACATGTTGTGGTCCGTCTCACGGTTCTTGGCTTGGACAGAGAGTCTGACGCGACGGTCAGCGAAGGACGAGCAGATGTCCCAGACTTCCTGCCAAATGGCACGACTTGCAATGGGGCGGTTGTTTTCGGAGCGCCAGCCGTTTTCGTGCCATTTGCGGAGTTGGTACTTGTAGGCCTTGACGATGTAGTCAGAGTGGATACAGATGACAGCGGCGCGTGCGCGGAGGCCTTGGATGAGATGTAGAGCGGCGAGGAAGGCGTGGAGCTGTGCGCGGTAGAGGGACTGGACGTGGCCTGGGAGCGGCTCTGCGATGCGAACGGAATGGGCGGGGGCGAAGACGGAGTAGCCTGCGAGTTGGGAGGAGGGGGTTTTGTGGCGGACGCCGTCAATGTAGAGGTGGACGGGGCTGGGGGCAGACATGGTAGAGTAGAGTGGTGGGAGGAGGCATGCGGGGCGGAGAGAGGGGGGAGCTTGAACAGGCTTGGAAGTTTATAAGGGGAGAGGAAGGCGGTGTCGTCGATGACGAGTCGTGGTAATCCAACAATGACGTCAGACGCAGTGACCGCACTGTGCCGGCGGCCCGTGATTGATAATTGTTTTGTCCGCAGTGTCATGTCTCATTTACACTAAAGTCTACCGACCCCCCAGGCTTTAGCCTCGCACACGTGGACACGTGCTTTTCCCCTACCTGCATTTGTTCCTGATGCTTTAATCTTTGCCGAACCACCAGCCGGCAGCCCTCAACCCCTCCCTCGTCGCTATTTACTAGCAACTGCGCCTCATCAAAGAGTGGCCTGCATGTGCTCCAATCCTCCGGCATATCGTCGGAAGCTGTCCAACAAGCACTCCGTCGTTGCATAAATTGCGCTAGACGATGCCACTGATGCATGTCCTTGCTCAACTCTCCATACTTCCAACTTCTACACATGCATATATATGATACCAACCACATCACAACAATTATACAAACACACACTCCTATTGGGATAAGGAAGTTCCACCGATATCGACCGCACTCCTTATACACGTAAAACTCACCTTCCTCATAAGTGCTCCGTACTGCAAGTGCTGCGTAAATGGCTCGATAACAAGAGTCTGCAGTGAAAGCAACACTAGAATCCATGGAGCTCTCGTTAAAACTCATCGGTAGAAAATACTGCTCAAGTTGACTCGCTCTGTAGCCTCTGTAAATTTCCGCAACTTTTTCGGCATCCAACGACTCGTGCGAGTAGTCGCACGAAATATTCATCACAGACACACTTGTTTTTGTCAAAGCACTGACTAGATTGCCAGGGGACTTAATTGCTCTGTCTCTCAATTCTAAGATGTGACTCCCCGCGTTGTATTCGAGAAAATGGACTGTCTCCTTGTCCGCACTGACACTGAATAAGAATCCAGATGACATGTTAGTGTTGTGCACTACATCTCCAGGTCCGAAAAATGTATGTGGATTCTCTGTGGTTTCTTGAAACTCTTTCACGAACGTAAGCGGATATCGCTCTTCATAAGAAACCCCGATACTGAGCTCCTCAGGTTCATATCTCTTCCAATTTCGAATCGAGCACTTCTCGACAAAGACTTGGTTTTCACGAGGCACGCAAGAAAAACAAGTGTCTGCACGTAGGTGACGAGGGATTCCAACTTGAACACGCTCCAACTCCCCTTCGGTAAAATTCACATTCCCTATAATGCTGAAAGCAGAAAACAAGATCGTGGAACTCATATCCCGGTTGTAGTATGAAGTCATGTTCAAAATCTGACCGTGAACTGTCTGCGTCTGACACTTAGGTGAGACATCAACGCCAATCTCAGAATAAAGCCCGGACGCCACAAGCAAAACAGATATCAAAATTGTGCATAGTATTGCTGAGGGAGGTAAGATAGGGGAACGGTTTAGTAAACAGAGAGTAGGACGCCTTCCGTATATTCAGGATAGGAGCATAGCAGACATACCTGGATGTTTGCGGTACTTGATGACAGATAATGCTATAAACGGTAGACGCGTATCCGTTTCATGAACGACGGGAGCACGGCGGGTAGTGATGAGACGCAAAGTGGCAAAATTGAGAAGGGTACTCTCAATCAGGGCTTCAGCAAAAAGAACCACAGCCAGAGTGATGATGTTGAGGACAAGATTAACCGCTCCAATTGACAGCATTTGAAATTGATTCCGCCCACGCAAGAGGAAATCACGGCGATCGAGGTGAGGCGACCAGACCCCTGTGAGCAGTAGGACACATATATATATGTATATACAATGTATATACTATCAGTAGTGCAGGAAACCGGCTCCATCCTTTGTACCCTGGTAAGCACTTTTCCGAACCTACCTCTGACCCGGGTTTGACGGTATAAGTTGCATTGTTGATTACACTCTTGTGCAGAACGGACAGGTACAGTAGTGACTACTGTACCATGGCAAAAGACGCCCTTTGCTAAAAGCTTTGCGCACTGAGACATGTATGTACGGTAGAGCACCAGGTGTTTCTAGAAGAAAACAGTACCAAGGGTACCGATGGTACCCTTGGTACAGTATTGTCTCTGACGAAAGTAGTTCTCAAGGCCGGCGTACAAAACACGTAGAGTATTTGCAAGCACTTCAGTTGCAGCACAAGTTCATGATCATTTTATTTTTAGAATACGGTACCTATGTGCTGTTTTTAACCCAAAATATTGTTCTGTTCATTTCTTTGCACGCATGTATCGCTGCCACTTTTGGGCATACTGTACTGTTGCGGAACGGCACGTGGATACGTGTAAAACTGGACTGCGAACCGAAATGTGGATACGCACCACCGGGGTAGGGAACCGAAACGCAAGAGTCCGACAGGAGCGGGGGGCGAGGGGGTGTAGTCGACGCCGCCGGAGCGTGGCGAAAGGAAAAGGGATGATGTGAGGCGGTGGTGGAGAGACAGGGACGATGGACGGGGAAGCGAGGGACACAGGGATAGAGAGCTTCTCGCAGGGAGTAGAGGGTACTTAAGGGCTACCCCCGGAAGATAGAAGGGGGGGGAGGCAGCGATCAGTCAGGAAGTAAAGAATTTGGGTGGATGCTCTCATTTGAGCTGATCGCGAGTGCCACGCGGTTGGGATAACCGCAACAGTACAGTAGCTCAGTAACAACCGCAGAATCGTAGCCTGTTATGTTACCCTTCGAAGGGTACCACAGGCAGCATGCAATTGATAGTGTTTCACTGTTGACTTGATCCGTTTCCCGTGGTTCGTCGAAGTAGTTGCGGTGGCGCTGATGATCCTCTGCAGTGAATGTAAGTTACCGTATACAGTAATTCGGCAAACCATTGCTTATTCACCCATACAGTTACCCTTCGAAGGGTAGTATTACGTCGGACCGTCCAACGAAGGATTTGTTGTTCCCCGCTTGCTCACTTCACTCTTCTGTACAGTACTATGCTCGTACTTCAATGGCGCTCAAAAATACATATAATTCCCTGATTTTTATGTTATGAGATCGCTTGGTCGGATAGACCCTGAAGGGCTTGCAACGTCTTTCCCGTACGGATACGGTGGCGCGGATGCTGCATGTGCATCCATCCGTTCCGGCCCCGCATCCGGCGATACAATGGCCCTGATCGACGTACACGACCTCCTCTGCCTCTTTCCTCACTTTTCCAAACTGGTAATGCGTGTCGCCGCCGAACTCAATTTCGTTCCTCGTCAGCCGGTGGCCCCCCGAAAATTTCTTGGGAGGCCCTTGGCCAAGCATCAGGTCCACACGCCGATCACTGGCATGGTGCCCCTCGAACACGTTGTGCCTTCGCGTAGTCTCCGCCCTGGTGGTTCCCCGGGCAGCTCTCAACCCTGCGAAACCTCTCGCTTGCGACCTTGAGGAGGATAAAGTCCGGCACATCAAACGTTGCCACCACCACGAAAACATAGCCAGTTAAACAGTTAATCTTTGTGTCCTCTGAGGACACGTACTGTACCCGCTTTCCGCATCGCGCAGTAACCCTTTCCGTTTCGACACGTCCAGGAGGCCCCCCCCCCCCCCCCCCCCTTATTCATCAGCAGCTCGTCGTCCAGGCACGTCAGGTGGGCCGTTCGGCATCACTAGTGCGAGTTGGGGCGCGCCAGGTACAGTTCCATACACCTGCCATTGCTGAAGCCAAGCTTGAAGACGTTCGATACCAGGGGCAACCGTGCCTTAGTGCTCAGCGCGACGGAGTTTTTGATATACAATATATACTTGTGTACGTGAACGAGAATGCACCGGTGAGGGAGGCTGCCAGCACACAGAGCGCAGCTGAGAGACGCAGTGTCCTTTCGACTTGAGCTAACCTCCACTTGGATCCGTGGACACGGCGCACTCGTGGGCGATTGGATCACAACAATGTCCACTGTACAGTACAGAGTACACTACCATCCATGCATCTACTGGATGTTTGGAGGCTACGACGTGGCGCTCTTTTCGCTGGCTCCTTTTCGCTTCCGTCCAAATGCTTGAAAGCGTCCAAATGCTTGAAAGCGCTGTGAAGGATCTTTATCCCTTATCTGCATAAAGGGTAACACATGTTTGGCAATGCAATGGGATCTTCAAACAGCGCTCTGAAATTGGTGCAACAGAGAACTTCGAAGCAGTTAACTTTGTACTGTGGGTGCACTGTATTGTAATGGATGCTTGTTCGTTGGAAACATTACAGTACGATACTTCAGATGTCCATTCTTTGGCTGAAAATGTTACCCTTCGAAGGGTAAGGTCAATATCACTCCTCTGGAGTGGAAGGGGTGAGCAAGTGTTGGCCGAGTGTGTTCCGTAAATCACTGGTCAAAATACAGGGCATGGGCGCTTTGAGCGCCCTTTGAGCGACGCAAGCGCAGTTTCCGAGGAGCTGTTGATGTCAGCTACCAAGGGTACAACAATACATTCATACAGCAATCAATCCCACCATTGCGATTTACGTACACTGCTGGCTTCCTCCTATTTCATTGGTTCATGGTAAGTACTCCTAAAAATATGAATCTAGTACAGTACAGGGGGGGGTCGCGATATAGTGCTACCCTGTGTCAGTGGGCCGAAAACAGCACTATATCGAACCAGGCACTGTTAGATAATGAGATTTACGGCTTTTTTGCAGCCACTTCCTTGCATCACTGCTCAGAAAGACCGCTCGCAAGACGCCATCACTCATGCTTTGTATCTTCACTACAGACTCAAGTCTAATCAAGCATTTCTGTTAGTAGTAGCTGCCGAGCCGTTGCATTGACTTCCTCCTTTTTCGCAGCCATAAATGCCAGCTTACACTTTTGCAGATGTCCAATTGCATCATCGACCCTGCCTTTTTCCGCCATAGTCTCTATTCGAGTTGGCAACTGCATAATATCTTTCCGCGGCGGCAGCGGCTCTCGGGCAGTAACACATGTCCATCCAACTGCCTCCCTGGAGACCCTTCGTTTTTGGCTCAAAATTCGTGCCACCCGCAGAAGGGTAGCACTATATCGGAGCTGGCACTAACAAATATGGCACTATATCGCGACCCCCCCCTGTACTGCAACCACTTGTGGTTCAAAAAATGAAAGACTACAAGATTTTTCTCGGATGGGAAAGTCGATATCAACTCCACCTCTATTGCCGTCGCCTTCGCGGGGCGCCGCGGTTGCGCCAGCGCCGGGGCGCCAGCGCCAGCGCCTGCGATTCCGCCCCAAGCATCGAACAAGCCCCCCGAGCCCGATCGCGCCTGCCCGCCCGTCAAAACGCTGCTCCACGCCCCTTCACGCCCCTCCACGCGCCGTCTCCCACCATCTGCACCGATGCGCACGCCCCTTCCCCATCCCATTTCAGCACCCACCCCGTCTCGCCTGCGCCCCCACTCGCGGCAGCTCCCCTGCGCTCTGGCTCGCAGCGCCCCTCCTCGCTCCTGGGCCTCCATTGCGGCCCCGTCGTTGTCTACCGCGCTTGGCCCGTGCAGGATGATCGCATCCGAGAATTTTGATCTCCCACGCGTACCCGCGAGCTCACCGCGACCGATCCTTACTCTTCGCCAAAGCTCGAGCTCTCCTCTCCGACCCAACCTCTGCCCGACCTGCTCTCATCCCCGCCGCTCGCACGCCAGTGCGCACCGTCGGCGCCCCGATTCGCGTAGAAACCGGCTCGCCCGCTCCTCCCCCACCGCCAGCACCTCGACCGCCATCGCTCCCACGGCGCCCCCGGCCCTCTCGTTCGCCTCCTTCGAGATCACCCAGGCGGCCCTCCGCCGGAGCGCTCAACTCGCCGCTACCCCTCTCTCGCCCCGCTGACGCCTCTGCCACCATCGCCCGTTATTCTCGCTCACGCCCGCCACGTCTATGACGACTTTAATGTCCTAACGCCTCCCCTGCCGCTCACCGCTCAGGCTCTCGACGCGGCCGCCACTGCCGGTGTCATCCGCCGCCTCCATCGCGAGGCCCAATACTCTCGCGCAACGCGCTCCCTTACGAACAGCCCGCTCGCAGACCTCAACGACCCCGCTACTCCTGCGGCCCTCGGCGACCTTCACCCGGCCCCATCCGCACACATTTCGTCCCGCTCTCCCCTGCCGACCTTCCCCCTCTGCCGGACATCGGATAATCTGCGGTCCTCCGAGCAGTCGGCTCCCTGCATCCGGGATCCCTCGTCGACGACGGCATTTCTGGGCATTGCCGTTTGTTCTGTAAATCAAATTCTGACGGCGTAACCACCCGCACAGTTGGGGTCGATGACGATGTCATACGCAGCGGCACAATTGCGGTGGCTGGGCCAACTGCTGCCGCTTCACAGTGCCGATGCGCAAGACCTTCTCACAAGCCAAGCTAAGCCATGCCCAGCCAAGCCAAGCAAAGCTGCCTTATCACACGATCCGTCCTGTAGTAAGGCGGCTTCGCCAATCTGAAGCTCCGCCGGGGCCCACACCGCGTCCTTCCAAAGTACGTGCACATTATCTCCTGTGTCGCGGCCTTACTTTCCCGAAGCCTAATCTAATTGGCGTCTGCTCTCCTCTCTTCCTGGGAGCAAATGAGAGCAGGCGCCTGTTACCGTAGATCAGGTTGGACCAACTTTGAGCTTCACGCCGTTGTTTGCTGGTCCCAGCACTACAACCTACATCCTCCTCCACATCGCGGCGCAACGTGCTTGGCTCGTCGTCACCACAGCGCCGCCATTGACACAAACTCGGGCGGACCACGTACATTGGGCGTCCCCCTTCAACTCCACTGCAACCGCTGCCCGACCGCTCGAGGCTCTTGTTACTGCTACTGCTACATCCGCGAACCGACGTGCGCCGCCCATTGCACAAAATGGCAATTATGTAACACTCCACGACCCCACCCTTGTGCACGTACAGAGGAAGAGCCATTCACATTCAAGAGCTTATGCAAAGTATCTCAACCGTTAATATGATGCTCCAAGGTCAGCTTCGAAGTTCTCTTTGGCAAATGATCGAAAAACACTAGAGCCACTTGTCCAACAGTAAATGCCGTGTGTCGCACGAACGCCCATACACGTCGCGCTATCGAGTACTGCGCTAGGCGGAAATGAAGCCCAAAGAGAATCGCACGATTCCCTCGTTGTTGCAAGCCACAAGTATTCCAGTCCACGCATTTCCAGTCGTTTGTAAAAAAACCTTTCGTATGATTTGCTTATCTCCCTCCCCTTTCGATTGCACCCGCCAGCTCCTTGAGGGCGCTTCAAAAAGAATGAGTACCCCATATAGAGACCAACTGTACCGTGCTGAAACGTAGATTTTACGCTCGAGTCTCGCGGCGTTTGGAATCTTCGCCAGTTCTTGTGTCCAACCAGCTCGGTATCTCGCCCAGCAGCTGTCAGCAGGTGCGAGAACATGCTGTCGACCACTACCTCTAGAACGGAAACGCAAAACATGGGCAGAGCACAACTGGACTCCCACCACGTTCAGGGAGGGAGTTGGAAACACTATGGAAACCTGGCTTCTGAGATGTAGTCGAGGAAAACGAGGAAACTATACGGACGCTCACAGAATGTTGGTTCGGAAATGGGGCCTCTTTTACGCCCTAACGGTGGTGGTGGAATGCAAGCAAGTGGCGATCGAATACTTGGTTTTACAATCAAAAGCGAATGCACACAGATGCTGGGTTTGAGATGCATATCTTTTAGAGCTGCGAGTAAAAACACTTGTGAAAGTAAAGTTTGATTACTTCTTGATTGCTGGGGCTGACAAACATGACTGGTTCGGGTGTAACAAGAGGGGATATTGGCGGTGATCGTTGGAAGAGGACGTAGTTGGTGGGGATGAAGTTCCTCTAGCCATTGCCGCATAGAAGGGCAAAAGGCAGTCTTTTCGACATCCTTGGCAAGGCCAGAAAGGAAGAAGACCGACTGCTCGGATCGCAATCGGAGCGCGCGGTCTCCCACTCTTTCGCTCTCTGACACGATCGCCGGCATACAGGGTCTCGCACAATCTGGAGAGGGATATCTCATTGTACTACGTGCACAATGAAAATGAAACATAGATACGAAGCGATCCGTTCAAGTTGTCAAGTTTTCGCATCTTGCGCCTCGCTCTCAGAGCTTGAGTCGTCAACCCTACTTGTCAAGTTCTTGCGCATTACACATAATACTAGTGCGTGCGTGTAACCCGAGCGGGGGCGGAAGTGGAAGCGCAGGACACTACTAAGGCGAAAGACGGCACGACCGAACGAAGCTGCTTAACCGGTTCGGGGTAGTCGGGGATGCCCGTGGATGGCTCCAGCGACCAACCACAACAGGTCAAATGAGTGTTGAAAGCTAAAGCGGCGACGGGGCGAGAGCAAAAGGACTCCTCCGTTGCGCCACCTCGACAAGTCCTGATTCCGTTCTCCGTTCCGAGTGCAGCCTGAGGCGGGCGCCCTAGTGTCTAGGTGACAAATGACCTCATATGAGGTCACTTTTCAACTTATTTTTTCTCGACTTGCGCTAACTCAACAAGATGGAAAAATATACTCTCGCCACCGCAGTTGACTTCTGCGTTGCGGAAGGATGGAGTTTGGTGAGATCTGCACGTCTTTTCCAGCCATTTTTAAAATGCCCAAAAAGGGGGCCTTTTTGACCAACCTCAAAACGTTTTATGTATCTTCGAAACCAAAACGCCTGTTTAAAAAGTCAACTGATCATTGAAACTTCATTAGATTCTTAGTTCATTAGTTCATTAGATTCTCATTAGTCTCTCTGTGCATTGACAACCGCCATTCCAATGTTTTGCAAGATGTTATTGCCGAGGGCGTATACGTTAAAGAAATGGTGTCCAAACTGACTTTTTAAAGTTTCGATTTAATTTATATTTTTTTGAAAAAAACCGGCCTCATATGAGGTGAAATTGACGCTCGTCTAGACACTAGCGCCGGCCGCTGCCTCCGAGTTCATTGTCCTGATAAAAGAGTTGAACTCAGCATAGGCGATCTATCCGTCGCTGTCGCTGCCGGACGGTAGGAACCACGTCTTTATCCCATCTTAACGAAGGGAACTCTACTCGCCGTGAGCCTCGGGTTTTCCCTTCTGCTCTCCCCGACGGCACCCGCCATCTCCGTTCGGGAGAGTGCTCTTGCTGACTTCTGAAATCGTTCAATCTCCGTCTTCTGTGACCTCATTCATCTCAGCATCGCGCAGCGCAGCAAGATTCTCTACAGCCTTGGAATGGTTGTCCTCTTTGATGGCCCTCTCGTACAATCTGCATGCACGATCTGTATCCCGCTCGACTCCTTCCGCTCCATCGCGTAACAGATTTCCGAGTTCCACCATTGCGTCTGTATCGTTGCTCTCTTCAATGGCCATCTCAAACAGCTCAGCCGCGCGCACCAAATTGCAATCCAAACCCTCCGCCCCGTCTCTCAGCAAGATACCGAGATTGTACATCGCGATGCCGTTCCTGCCTTTCGATATTGCAAGCTCATAAAGCTCCATTGCGCGTACCGCATCGGCTTCTACTCCTTCTGCGCCCTTATGCACCATCATTCCTAGACGGTTCATCGCCTCGACATCATCATGCTCATTGATTGCACGCTCGAACAACTCCTTGGCTCGTACCGCATCCTTCTCGACCCCCTCCCCTCCGGTCTCCAACAAACAACCTAGGTTGTACATCGCAGAGCCGTCATTGCCTTTCGATATTGCAAGCTCATAAAGCTCCATTGCGCGTACCGCATCGGCTTCTACTCCTTCTGCGCCCTCCTCCACCATCAGTCCTAGATTGTTCATCGCCCCGACATGACCATGCTCATTGATTGCACGCTCGAACAACTCCTTGGCTCGTACCGCATCCTTCTCGACCCCCTCCCCTCCGGTCTCCAACAAACAACCTAGGTTGTTCATCGCAGAGCCGTCATCGCCTTTCGATATTGCAAGCTCATAAAGCTCCATTGCGCGTACCGCATCGGCTTCTACTCCTTCTGCGCCGTTACGCAGCATCAGTCCTAGACTGTTCATCGCCCAAACATGACCATGCTCATTGATTGCACGCTCGAACAACTCCTTGGCTCGTACCGCATCCTTCTCGACCCCCTTCCCTCCGGTCTCCAACAAACGACCTAGGCTGTTCATCGCAGAGCTTTTATTGCCTTTCGATATTGCAAGCTCATACAGCTCCATTGCACGTACCGCATCGGCTTCTACTCCTTCTGCGCCGTTATGCAGCATCAGTCCTAGATCGTTCATCGCCCCGACATCATCATGCTCCTCAATCCGGCGTTCCAGAAGAGTCTTTTCTAAAATGTTAACAGTACACACGTCGTACTCGGTCACCTCACTGTCCATGAAGAAGAACTGCTTCCGACGGATAGCCACTCCTTGCCCTCGTTCCGCTCCAAGTATTTCTTCAAAGTTACGACAAAGACAATCCAACTTATCCAATCTCAGTGATCTTGCTATCAACCTTCGCATCCATACGAGGCAGCTTCGTACATCCTCAGGTATACTCAGATCTACTGCGCATTTCAGAAATCCCAGAACCACATCCACGACATAGTTGTCAAAAGCCGATTTCTCCACAAGCTCCTGCAATAATGAAAACAACGCTTCAAACTCTCTTCCACCCCCCTTGACCCCGCCACTCCCCTTTCTGCTCACAAAAACACTGTGGAAAAAAGCTAGCACCAATTCTCCAGCTCGTCGCCTGTTCGTCAATATCATGTGTTCTGTGATCTCCTCACTCGAGTCGGTGAGGAGCTTCACGCATCTCTGCAACGCGTTCATATCACCATGCTCCAGTGCAGCAACCTTCAACAGAAAAATGGCTCTTTGGACCTGGCCCAACTCTTCCCCAATAACATTTTCGCCTTTTGCTGGCAGGTTCTTCGCAAACCCTTCATCTTCGTATACTCCAGCCCTGACTGAGCTCAAGCAACCTGGCGACTTATCAACCAGTGCTTCTCTTACTATCAAACATCCGTCTTGTAAGGCCTCGCGGTCATTGTCTTCGTACACCGTGAAGCTTCTCTCCCCGACTGCTTGGGTGTGGGATGTCGTAATGTTCTTCTTTCTAACGACGAGATCACCGTGTCGCATGCTCACTTCAAATTTCGCAAGAACTTTGTCCCCTTCTAGCTCAAATCTGCATTGCTGGCTTCGAAACGGTTCCCATCCCGACCACATCTCAACCTCTGTACCCGTTTTGTGTGCTCTTGGCTTTACACTCACGATGCCTGACGTCATATTCCGGTGCCCGGCATGCAAGTCTGGCGAACACATACCATGATTCTTCTGCCATCGCCTCAATCCCTCCATACGTCCCAACGCCGCCTCCCGCCACCATCCCCACTCAAACCGCTCATCTCGCGATGTCGCCCCCCGGCACAACCGTACTCTCACTTTGCATCCTCTATCGCCCGCTCCACCTCTATTGCTCCAATCGTCATCGTCGCTCACTTGTACCTGAAGCCTCATTCTCTGAGGCCCACAAATCGGCACTATCCCAAACATTTCTTCGCTCCGTTTCTTCCTCTCTTCTTCCGCATCCCTACCTCTTTGCTCCTTCACGAATGACACTGACACACTATCTCGATTTTCCGAGATTGCCACCCCCCCTGCCTCGCTTGCCCGGACATCCGTGTCACCGATTTCCTCGCTCGTTTCTTCTGTCTTCATCACAACCAGCGACGGAAAACTGACCATGCAAAGCGCCACCGCTACCATACTGCTCGGGCTCCCTTCCATTCCCGATACCCTTTCCCTCAAAGCACATTGCAACTCCCACACTACACGACACTGCACCGCCCGATCCCTCAGTACTGCATTCCCTTCTCTCTGCCGCAGGGTACGTGACACATCATTCGATACACGCCCAACCTCCGTCCACCCCGATATCAACTCCCCCGCTTGAAACATCAAAGGCCTCCACGCCCCACTCTGCGAGTCCGTGTTCGCTTTCACCCACCTTCCCAGTCTCGTACGCACGCTCTCCAGCGAATATCCCATAAACGTCAATGTCTGCTCCAACTGCTCAAACTCTTGACCCACGACTCCAAACTGGAATGCTTGCATCGCTTCTTCAATTCGAACATGTCTCATGAAGAGGCCGCTCCCCCTCTTTTCCATCCCTCCCATCTCCACGCCTTCTCCGCTCACCACAGTCTCTTGGTCATGTTCGACTTGACCCAGACAACGTCTTAGCCATCCTTCGTCCTTACTCACCAGGAATTGCATTTGCACTCCCGCCATAAGCGCTAACCAGCAGTCGACAAGCTCCCCGACCTTGGTCACCAGTCTATTCTCCTTGGATACTTCATGAAAGTATCGTTCTGGCATCGGAAATCCGCATATGCTAGCACTCCTTCTTTCCGCTGCATCCACTCCTGAAGTTCTGTTGCCCATACCCAGCTGTGCTCGCATATTTTCTATCGCTAAATCGTCATGCTCCAGTTTCTCATACTCCTCAGATCTACGAGAATCTCTGCTCGCACTTCCGTTGCGAATCCGTTCTTCTCCTATGTACAGCAAAATCGCAAGCCACTCCACTCTCTCGATGTCCAACTCTTCCACTTGTTCTTCAAACTCCACCGGAATTCCATCAATGAATCGATTTAGTTTTCTCTCGTAGGCCTTGTACCCCTTTCCAGGCCGCAAGACCGCATTCCTCTGCACTGCATCGAACGGCATTCCACGTCCAGTCGTCATCGCTCGTCGCAACAAGTCCTCTTTTGACAAAAGCGACTTGCCTTCATCCAGCGGCAAATAACTCCCCAGCCACAGTTGTATTCCGGCCGTCGCCAGCACGCGCCCAGCCAGGTGTTCTCGTCGTCTTTCGTACCGCTCCAAGTTATTTATCGCCCCATCCTCATCATCGACTTCCGGCGCAACGGTGAACTCCGTTATCCACTTGTTCAACCCCTGCGCCGCAAACGCCACGCACCATCGCAGCCACACATCCTCTGGCTTGTGCGGTACCTGTACAAAGCAGGGTATAGACCCATTCCCAAGCCATTTCTGCACTATTCCATACACATACCGAAATGGTATCGAGAGCGCTTGTAACAGAATCACGATGCGTTGACGAAACACGTTTCTTCTCTTTGGATCTATTCTGAACTCAATCTTGTCAAACACTATGTAGCACCGAGCATTCCCATGGAACACACGGTTCTCAATCACTTCATCGCTCACCCATAGTTCATCTACAATTTCAGCCACAGAGTGCACGTTTTCCTTGTCATCGGTATTTCCGGACTCCTGCGAAGTACTGATATTCGTGGTTTCTTGCTCTCTTTCTTCGCCATTCTGGGTTTGCTCCTTCCCATCATGGCCAGTACGGGCGCCCGTGTTGAGCTCATATTCAATCCCAAGGGCCCGCAACGACTCAATGCTCTTGACAGCCCACTTGACAAATAGCTGCAACTGCCACAGTCCCCATAACGTCCGCACAACGTGCAGCAACGCAAACAGCATAGCGACCAGCGCAGTGAACATCTCCTTTTGATCGACATTGGATTGCACGACCATGTAAAACAGTATGTAGATTGCCGGGACTAGCGCGAGAACAAGGTTGACGTAGCCGGCGATACGAACGTCACGTACCCTGCGCCATTTGGCAGAGATAAAGTCAAAGGTGGTGAGAGCAGTCCACGGGAGGAAGGCGGCGGTGTAGGCCAACAGGACGATGATGGTGTTTTCAGCGAGATGGTCGAAGGCCATATTGGCAAAGAAAGCGAGGTGTGCGAGTGACTTGGAAAGAATCTAGGAAGTTTTGATGTGAAAGTCTGGGTTTGTTTACTTGCAGACGAGAGCTCACTGTAATGACTCGTCTTTGTCAATCGTGTACCGTGAAGTGAAGGGATACTTGCGCAAAAGAACACGGTCAAGGTGGGGTAGATGGGATTTACGGGAGCGGCTGCAGGCTGTGGAGAGAGAAGGAAGGCTCTGGAGGAAATCGTCAGTGTAGGCAAGGAAGGGGACGTTCGTAGATGCGCCGCAGCCCCAACAAGTAACGTGTGGTCCAAAGATGAAATAGTTCATAATAAGTGATGATGCGAGGAATTGTTGCGTTGTCCTGGTCGAAAACAAGCATTGCAGCAACTCCCTCGAGTCTACCCTTCGAAGGGTAGAGCGTAGGAACGGGCTGGCGTATCACGCCGCACAGGAGAGTCTGCCGGGAAGCAAACACGGAGGGGGGGGCTCGTGAGAGTAGATAAGTGTGGGTTGTCCACCGGCCTCGAGTGCGGATATTCCAGTACAGGGGGGGTCGCGATATAGTGCTACCCTGTGTCAGTGGGCCGAAAACAGCAGTATATCGAACCAGGCACTGTTAAATAATGAGATTTACGGCTTTTTTGCAGCCACTTCCTTGCATCACTGCTCAGAAAGACCGCTCGCAAGACGCCATCACTCATGCTTTGTATCTTCACTACAGACTCAAGTCTAATCAAGCATTTCAATTATTAGTAGCTGCCGAGCCGTTGCATTGACTTCCTCCTTTTTCGCAGCCATAAATGCCAGCCTACACTTTTGCAGATGTCCAATTGCATCATCGACCCTGCCTTTTTCCGCCAGTCTCTATTCGAGTTGGCAACTGCATAATATCTTTCCGCGGCGGCAGCGGCTCTCGGGCAGTACATGTCCATCCAACTGCCTCCCTGGAGACCCTTCGTTTTTGGCTCAAAATTCGTGCCACCCGCAGAAGGGTAGCACTATATCGGAGCTGGCACTAACAAATATGGCACTATATCGCGACCCTCCCCTGTACGTAGGCGCTGACTAAGGTTGGTCATGTACCATGGTCACATTACAGTACCCTGTTCACGGCCAACCAGTGCGCTAAACCTTTACCGTAACTCACATGTTTGGCAATGCAATGGGATCTTCAAACAGCGCTCTGAAATTGGTGCAACAGAGAACTTCGAAGCAGTTAACTTTGTACTGTGGGTGCACTGTATGAGAAAGGAAACTACCAAGAGGGCGGCGCAGCCGGGGCTGGGCGGGCAAGAGAAATAGACATGGCCAGGAGAGGGGGGCTGGCAAGAGGCTCACGATGGCGCCATAAGTACCACGGAGCAGCGAGACTGCGAGGTGAGGTACGCTCGGTTGGCTGATAGTAATTACAGCCACTCGCTATCCTCCGGGGAGTTTCACCCCTATACACGCTAGCGTGTACAGAGACGCGAAGGGGGCAAATAAAAGCGGTAGCGGATGCACGGAGAGCGCTAGACATGCGGTAGCATGTGCGCGAAGAACCACTCCGAAGCGGCGGTGACAATAATACGGCTATCGAAGTAAACAGAAAACTGGTTCTGCGATGCCCAATCCAGACGGGTCATAATCCATTCGCGGCTGAACTGGAGGACGAGCAGCTCGTTGAAGCCACCGATACGAGCGCTGTGCCATGCGAAGTAGCAGCCAGGCGGCGGTGCGCCGTTGACGAGAGCAACGGCAGTCTCAACCGCAATGCCGAGATCGGCAGTGCCGACCTTTTGTCCACGTCTGAGATTGAAGAAACCAAGATTGGCGGGACGCAAGGAGCGCCATTTCGAAAGCAATGCGTTTGGCGAAGCAGTAGAGGTCCAGACGGGGTTGGTTGGAAGTGAAAGGCGTAATGGTCGGGACCGAGATTTGCCTTTCCGGTGAGTGATCACCGCACTCACTCCCTCCGCCGTTATGGTGATGTCGCTGTCTTTCAGATATGCGACAGACACCCACCGGCACTGAAAGACAAATGCAAACACCACTGTAGCACAATAACCCACCGTGTCTACGTCCTCGGCAGACAGCCCACATTCCACAATCTGCTTCATGAGGGCTGCCGGGAGCCCAACCCGCGCCATATGAACGACGCCTTGAAGATCATCCTTGTTCGCATATGCGCGGACAAGAGCCGATACCATGGGAGTATGAGTTGGGGAATCGAAGTTGAGGAGCTCGTGGTATCGAGATACGACCGTAACGTACTGCGCCACTGACGTCGTACCGACCCTGCCTTCGAGATGCAAGTAGCCGATATATGCTAGAACATCCCCCTCCTTCGCCCCAAGCCGCGGTCGTCCATCTTCGTCGCAGAAGGTAAACCATTTCTTGATCTGGCTGGAGCGATTGGCCCAAGTCCCGTCACTCCATCCGTAGTTGGAAAGCAAGTCTGCTGCGGCCTGGGCGCTTCCCGTTGCACCATCATCCCCACACCGGCTCAATACTGCATCCCGTATCCCCTCCTGCCACACCACCCTCACGCCATTGTTGCGAGAACGACGGACCAGTCGGCGTTGAGATTTTTCGAACTCCGCAGTAGAGAAAAGTCGGCGCCTTGTGGATGGAGGACCTTGACCGTAGTGGCGTGACGCACCAACTGCGGATGCCAGGCTTGCGCTGGTCAGTGGGGAGCCACCAGGACGCCCTTCCCACCATCCGCTATAACCTTGCGAATGACCAGAGGGAGCATGTCGAAGGGAGGATTCCACAGGCGCGCCCTCCCGTCTCCCCAGTCCTCCTGCATCTGCGTCGCCAGATATTTCCGTCGCGCGACTGCCGTCTCTCCGAGGGGGCGATGAGCGAACACCACCGAGTCCACCTGATACTCGTCCTGGATCGACTGCAGCAGCTGGTCCGTCGCCTGCACGTCGCCAGGATCCCAGGTCCGGGAGAGAGCGTCGGCGAACCGGTTGACCGCGGACGGCAACCACCGGGCTTCTATCCGCACCCCCAGGGTTTGCAGCATAACTTGAAGCCGGCGTAGCTCCGCCATCATTGGCTTGGAAGCGGACACCATGGCGTTCAAAATGAAGCAGACTGCCTGGTTGTCCTCGTGCAGCAAGAGACGCTGAACGTCCGGTCGGCCGACGTACGCGGCAAAGTGCCTCTGTAATAGCAGACGAACCGCCCGAAGTACCCTCAAAGTGATCGAGTGC